CATTCGAGTGGCATTGAGGCGCAATTATGGGTCCACTTCAATGTGAATATCTGTAATATTCATTCGCATTACACATTATGCACGAGTATGTGCGAGTGTCTATCTCTTGCTCTTCCTCTTCCTCTCTTCGCTGAGTATTTTTTGTGGCATGCAACTTTTATGAGTTCGCACTCGATCTGGTTTCACTTTCACCCAATCCCATTACCAGTCCCATCCGTTTATGCACATCCTGCTGTTGTGGCCACTTTTGCTGTCTCCACTCTCCTGCTGTGGAAGCTCCAAGGATAGAATACTTCCGATTGGCATATTTGCATTTCCGTTCGGTTTCAGTGTCCGTATATGTGTGTGTCTGCAGTTCCGTGCTTGTGTTATTTGTTAATAGGATTGTTTGCTTTTATGCTTTTGATACGACATTTGCCTAGGTGCTAGCACCTAATGTGTGCTCTCTGCCAAGCAATATCAACCTTCACTTATCGCATTGCGGGAGTCCATTAAAATTGTAATAGCTAAGCCACACAAAAGATGACCAATAACCACTGCCACAGCAGCAGCATTGTGGCAATCATTGCGGTAAGCAAAGTGCAAATAAGTGAATCATTAAATAAGCAAAATCCAAAATGTACTAAAATTTAACAGTAATGAGTCTGCAAATAAAAACGAGTAAAATCATTGGAATCTACGTATGTTTAATTATCATTTCTCTACATGTTTTCAGTGGATATCACTGATATATGACCGACTGAATTGTTTTGTTTTGGATATTGTGTTTATGGTGCATTTCCGGATAAACAATTAAGAATTAATTAAAATTAAATCAAATTTCCATCAAGTGTGGCCAGAAAAAACAAACGGAACTGAAGAACTGTCTTTTAACGATAGTATTTATCCCAATATGCAAATATATAAAAAATTATGTATTTTATTTCCTTTTGTATTTTCACACTCCCAAAACTGGAGGCTGTACAACATATACACCGGTCGTCTCAGTGTATCGGATGCACAGGCGTTTGGCTAATGACGATTTCCCAGCATCGGTTGCTGATTATCGGATAAATTCTCTTAGCCACAGACCATTATCTGGCTCTGCTCGTACATAATTTCTACTTATATCAATTTGTCAGGAATTTATCACATATGCACACAACCATAAAGAGAAGGGGGAATGTAGCTACTTGGGAGTACATTTTGTGGTCGAATGTGCTGGAAAGTTTTTCGTCGATTCTAACCGAAAGAGGCCTCGACTTTGGCATTTATTGCTTTATTACTTGGAAATTCTTGCCGGCATTAATGTACGAGAGGGCTGGCATTGGCCTGTGTCCATAATTCATTGCCGAATTCCGGGATGTTGCCGGAGACTGTCGGGATGGCAGCAGCAGCGTTAAGCGTTAATAGGATAACAAATGACAATTGTTGTTGATCGTGGCAATTTGTTTTGATTTTGTGCCGAAGTGAAAGTTCCACGAAATACCAAACTGCCAATGTCCCAATACTCGTTAGAATAATGGCAATATTTGGTTAGAGTAACTAGTAAAGGACAAAGGACACACGAGTGCCAGAACCATGTGTGTTCGGGCCTCTGACCCGGAGTTGATGACACGAAATCCGTTTGTTGTCAAAGCATTTTATCGACAGCCGAAATGAAACAATCATAATGGATGGCTTAATATAAATGTATGGACTCAAACGAATACAAGGGCTTGATGGGGATTTGCGCAGATTCGAGATGCTTTTGCATTGACGAAATTAACGAGATTGCTTTCAGTTGGTGGAAAATTTCAAGTCAAGCCCACGACGAAAAAGCGGCAAAGCTGCTATTCAACCATCAACAAACACCAAAGCCTTCGATATAGCTACATGAGAGTACTCCAAGTCCTGTGTGTGGGCAGACAGGAGTCCTTGATGATGATTATGTATGCTACAGGCTTTGGGGGGCCTGGCTGGCTTAGTAATTACATGTCAGGTGCCTGCATCCACACAGGCTTACTCACGAAATTAATTTCCTTGGCCCACTAAAATCTGAACGATAATGAGAACAATTCGATAAGCTTGGTTGGGCGTCGCTTGGGCGTGGCAAATCCGATTTTAAGCTGCAAATCCCCTTCGAAGTGCGATGCCATGATGAAACTCTCTCTTCTCTCTCTCTCTCTCTCTTTCGTTGACTCCCTTTCTCCCTCTCTCGTGGCTTCCTCGCTAAGCGTATGTGTTTAACCCAAGTGAAACGGAATTAAACCACATATACTCGTACCCATCTATACTCCCATGGAACTAAGCGAATTGGCTGCCATCGCATCCCTTGGAGCAACAGGAAGTGGAGGCAGTCAGGCATGAGGCAGCCAGGAGGCCGGAGGCTGCGTAAACTTGACAGAATCGGAGACCTGCATCGTCGCTACCAGCAGCAGGTACATCCATGCACTGACAGGCTGCCAATGAATGCTGGTTCTGGTTCTGGTCCTGATGCTGTGGTTAAACCAAAAGCGAAATCGTTCTTCGACTTGGTCAGCGTACCCCCTTAACCTGGCTAAATTGCAGGCAGGAGGCACGGAAGGGGAGAATGCCTTCCAGGATGTTTCAGCAAATTAAATGCCTCTCCAGGAGCAGCGGCATCAGCTGGCACGTGGCTTTATCCGCGACGTGGCTGGCAGTTAACGCGGCGACAGACATCGTTGCGTATACGTAACGTAATATATGTGTGTGTGTGTGTGCCCTGCACTCGGCGGCTGTCTCCCCCTCATCCCTCTGTCGGTGTCTTTGTCACTGGCCGCCTGCAAACGCTGAAACGTGTTAAATTTATGGTTTGATTTCGCTCTGGCATTGCCAATATGCCAGGCTGGCGATGCCCGCCCTTAACCCTAATATTTATGGCCAATACGTGAGCACATGTGCCACAGGAGCTGCGCACCAGAAATCTCCGACACTCGCTGAATGATGACACCATATCAGAGATATGACTCACAGCTCAGTGCGGGAGGAAGGCGACTCTACATACACTCTAAAAAATCCCTAAAATTTTTCTATTTTATATTTTTTTTTAAATATTCTTCTCAAAAAAAATGTCTCAGAAATGCATTTTTCACACTTCAACAACTTCCATATTTCTACAGAATTTACCTAATATTTACGATTATACTTAGACAATCTTCCATTACATTTATATGACGCAAACTATTTTTTTTTGTTTAGTTTCTCTCAGTATTGAGAGACTTCATTGACTTCCACAGCGCATTCACCTTTTTTGCCGGTCATGACTGTATGTGCAAGTGCAGCGCCAATTACTGCCGCTCACGTAAAAATCACGTAAGTTTAAATTCACTTTAACATCATTAAGACAAAGTGCGCACACACTGCGGTTCTGTTTCGACTTAGGAGCAGCAGAAGGAGCAGCACATGCAGGTGAGCATACGGGAAAACAGTCTAATGAAAATTTAAGTGGTGCATGCTTGATTTAGCAAATGAGTTGAGTCGAGTCGAGTGGGGTCGAGTGGAGCTTGCCAGCCGCCTGTATGTGTGGCTCTATGAGGCTGAGTGCTCGACTCAAGTGAGCCGAAAGTCGAAAATAACGTAATTATACTCATTATGCGGTACTCGCCATGTGCAGAGGTATCTTCTGTGTGTACCAATGCATGTAGCAGGCAGAGGGAAGGGTTTCAAGTATCCATAAATGCCTGTAAAGCCTTTGCCGCCGTGGATTAATATTTTAAAGATGTTTCTTTTGGGGATTTGCAGGTATCGCAAAGTCCGAATACAGATTTCTTGTTTTGTCTTAATTAAATGCCGTTCATGTAGTTGCAGTGGCTCTATGGCGTGTTTATTGCCACATCCAGCTATGGTTGGAACTTTGGTTGGGGCTGAAGGCTGGGGGCTAAAAGGTTTTCCCAGCGACGCAACATAAATCTATTTATAAACACGCCTAATCTCTGGCTGGCCGCACGGGTCCTCCTTGGACCGCCCGCAGTGCGCTGTTTGAATGCAGAAGTCAAGACTATTGGGGTTCCCTTCTGGGGTGGGGGCTTGGGCAACGGAAGTTTGGCGGACTGTCTCATCTCAAGGCTGGCCATAACCTTTGACCCATTAAGATAAGCGATGGCCATAAACGTGCCCAACAAACAAAGCAGCGAAAATGAATTATTTGGCTGGCCATCCCCTCCCGAAGCGAAACGATAAACAGGCGGGAACGGAGAAAGTTGGCTGTGGAAGTTATTCTCATTAAGAGTCCCGAAAACTGTGTTGCGTTATTCCTTTCTCTCTCTCTCTCTCTCTCTCTCGCTGTTACATCTTGGCCACATCCAAATCGAAATCCAAACCCAAATCGAAATGCAAATCATTATTTTAGCAGCTGGGAGTCGCTGCTGGAGTATCTATTGCTGCCACTGCAGGCGAACGTGCTCCGGTTGGGTCCACGTCTCATTGCGGCACATTTCGCATAAGTATCGGCAACTCGGGAAACTTATTGATGCGCATAAATCAGTGAGAGCCGTGGCCGTGCCGTTGCCGTTGCCGGTGCCGGTGCCAGTGCCAGTGCTGAAACTTGCACTCTCTATGCATGCGAAATCACTGCAGTAGAAAATTAGAAGATTTTCGGTTCTGACAAGATTCGGTTACAGTGAAGCTCTCTTCATCTCGCTCTCTGTCTGCCTGTCCCTCACCCCTCTCGCACGTAACTGCAAATCGTGTGGCAAGTGCAACATCTGTGGCAGTGCTCGCAATGGAGTCATACGAAAAAGCAGCCACCAAAAACGTGACATCGCCAGCAGCGGCGACAGCAACAGCTGAAGGAGTTGATGCGACGTCTATGTAACGTGCCGCATATCCTCTCTACCACCGCCCACTGGTCCTTTGCTCACCCCGTGCCCCGGAGGAGTCGCTGCAAATTGCAATTAACTTTGGCTGCTCTAATTAGCCCAGACGAGACGAGAACAGGCCAAGCCATACTATACCATAGCATACCGGAGTCGAGCAGCCTGGAACGGAGCCTTCATTTTGAGAGCATAATTAGCCAAATGCTTAAAAATCCCCAAAAAATATATACAAACATATTTCGCTAAAGTATATTTAAACGGCAGCTACTTTGACGCCAATTAGCTGGATAGAGAGGGTGTTGCTGAGGTACAGGCAACGGGTGGCTGGTGAGACCACCCGCTCCCTATCAATGGCCCGTATCATCAATCAAAGGCTTTGCAGGTGTAAAGCACCCAAAATAGCGACGCCGTCATCGTAGGTGAGTGCTTCAGAAGGGTATGCGCTCCTCTAGCGTTGTGTGTGTGTGTGTTTTGTGCTGGTTGCTGTCACAGATAATTTGTTAAAAATATAAAAAAGAAGCCAACAAAATGACAAATGAACTGCGACAGGTAGGTGAAATTGAGAGTGAGAGCGAGAGCGAGCGCGAGAGGACAGGCGCGTGAATACTATTCATCCAGAAGAACAAAAGTTAAAGAGTAATTTCTGATAATGAAATTATGCAATACCCTGTCAAACGGAAAGAGCTTTCATTTGTTTCGAAACAAGCTCTTTAAAGATTGATTTCTTTAGGTACAAATTCCAATTGAACTCCCTTTCAAGTGGAAGTAAATTCCCAGTGCTATTGGAAGCAGCGTCTCCGCAGCGACTATTTGTTTGACTTGTAATAGTTCTTCCTTCGAGTATATTGTACCATTGATTGCTTAATGAGTAGTTAGCCTTAATTGTTAAATGAATTCCGCCATCACCCCTCGGTATGGAATTAAGTAAATTAACTCGGAAAAAAATATCACCATATCAATGAATTTAAGTCAGACGAAAACAGTTTAAAGTAAAATAATATGCCCACAGTCATCAGGAGCAACCATATTTTTATATATTAATGAGGCCAAGCCCCTGGAATGGCGGAATGACGAACAGGAGCACACACAGCCGGTCACGACGAATGCCATACGAAATAATCAGAAGATAAATATTTTGTATGCTGTGATGCAGATGCAGATGCACATACAGATCCATATGCAGAACCAGCGACAGGACCTTTGTGGGGTTTGCACTGCACTTGCATATTTCGTTTGCACTCCATTTAAAAATAACTTTTAACTTGATTAAAAATGACGGCGGTCGTGGAGGCGGGGCGGAGCAGGGCAGGGCAGAGCAGGACGGAACAGGTCGGAAACGGATGTAACAACGGCAAGTGCAAAGTGAAATCTTGTGCAATTAACTTAAAGCCAACTTGAGTGGGGACAAGGGACAAGGGTAGCTAGCATGGCTAGGAGACGGAGGTCAGCATCGCTTCAAAAACTAATTGACATCGTTGGCCCGGCAGCCGCTGACAGCTGGCGCTGAGAGTTCTCTCTCTACCAGCTCCTCCTTGGCCTGCTTCCGCTGGTCCTGCTGCTCCTACTGATTTCCACTATCAGCCCATCTGGCCTTCTCCTTAAAGGCTCGCAAATATTTTCGCAGTCTCCCCACTGCCTCGGCTCCATCTGCTGCCACGCTGGCAGTTTTAATTTAATTTTACACCGAATTCTGCGCCATGTCGTGACCATCGTCGTTCGTTGCAGGCGCCAATTTTCGCGCGTCCTTTTTGCGGCCGCACTGCAGATTGCATGGATTGGGGGTAAATGGAGCTGGGTCTAGGGCTGGGGCTGGGGCTGGAGCAACTATTGTCAGTGCCATTAAAAAAGTTTAGCCCGATTTGAGCTTGCACGCTTAATGGCCAAGATTTTAATCAGAAAATGAGTTAAAAGCCAGCTGGCGGCAGTACGAGCTACGAGCAACCACGAACATCAACATCAACTGCTGACGATATCCTCCAACGGATTGCCACGGCAGCCGTGGATTATTGTGGCGCCTTTTGCCACAATTACTTGCACACATCGCCTAGGGCGCACGTCGCTCTGAGGTGCCACAATGGGTTGCCACAGTCGGTAAAAGTTGGGCGCATTGTAAAAGTTTTATCTGGGATGAAAACAAAAAACTGCATTAACCACAGACAGCATTTCGGCGTGAATTCATCATCATCCTCTGATGCAGCCCAACTGTCAATCCCATTGTGTGAATGGTGAGCAAAAGTTCACGAATTTGAGCAAAATCATGGATGCAATTCGAGATAAATAAAATCCATCTGGTGTATTACTCAATCAAAAAGTTACTAAAGCATTTTTTGTCGGTTCTTAGTAGTTGATGGAAGCAATGACAGATGGAACTTTAAGCAAAGTTAATGGAAACTTTTTTTGGTCGTTTAATGGTTAAAAAATATGTAATTTATATTGTAGCCAAGGAAAACGATTTATTTCTGATGATGATGTCATATTATAAGTAAGGGAAAGCAGGAATTATCATTTATCAGGGTCCTTTCACGTGCTTTACAATATGTACCCCGCAACGGCATCTGGACTTTCTTGTCACCTGCTATACTGTTTAAATGCTGATTGTTCCCACTAAAACATATTCTTATGCGTACATATATGTAATCTACATTGTGTATTCTTTGAGATAGTCATAATTTAAAATAAAACCAACATAGTAGTATCAGCAAATACATATTTTTGTCATATCAGCAAATGTTCTGCTATCTATAATCGCTCGCGGGATGGCGATTTACTGGCAACCCAATGGGGCTGTGATTTACAGTGAGCACTCGAAATGGGATTTTAGCCCACTTGAGCAGAGCCAATTAGAATCTGTATTTTCGCTGGAATTTTTAAATTTCGTATCGAAAATTCGAGTGCGGCGAGACCCTAGCCCGAGGTGGCCGAACTTCAAAAACAACCTGAAAAAGAAATTAAACCAGGTCCTAGCTCCGGGGCCTATTTGGCATTTTTGGATGCAACTACATAGAGAAATGGATTACTGGATATGTCAGAAAGTTGGACCCAATGGACCACACGCTGGGGCTTCATCTCAGCTCTCCAGCTTTTATTGAATCGCAAAATCATTTGAAGAGCTTAAACTACATCGAGCTGCTGCTGCTGTTGCTGCTGCTGCCCATTCAGCGGGGCAATGGGTTGCAGTGACCTCCATTCCCATGGCTTCCACGTGAGGGGCTCCATTGGCTTCATGGTGAACAGCGGTGGAAAGGGCGTGAACGGAGCGCATTCGGAGCCAGTGCACTGGGTCTGAGACTGGCTAGAATTGCCAGTACCACTGCCGCTCTGGCTCTGGCTCTGGGTGCCATTCTCGGAGGTTTGCGTCTGGCAACCGGGACCGGTCTGAGTCTGGGTCTGAAGGCCGTCGGCCGAGTGCTGCGTTCCTGCGTGCCCACAATTGCACTGCACGTCGAGAGGCGCTGCCTGAATAAAGGATAAACGTTTACAGGATTGTAGTTTCCAATTGTCAGAGAGCCCTGTCTGTTGTTGTTCTACTCAATTTTCATTACATTCAGTCCTGACAGCACGCACAGCCCGGCAATGGCCACGGCCACAGCGACGACGGCAACTGGCAGAGCGGGACTACGTTGGTGGCCTTTCATGCTTAATGGTCCGAGAACAAACTTCGACTGACTACAATCTAGTGTGTGTGCGAACATTTTAAAGCGTTAAAGTTAACAGCTACACGCACAGACACAGGCACAGGCACATCGAGATAATTGAATGTACGAGTATCGCCGATGTGCGGGCAGCTCTGCTATGAGGTGCCCGATAAGACGGCTTACAAATTGAATATTTATTCACCTCACTATATAGTTGGGTATGCTGACTGTGAGATACCCGTGCTTCATTCTTAGTTCTCTCTCCAAAGGAAGATGCAAAGCTTGGCATAAGCGATTCTTCATAGTTCTCGCCATGAAAACTCCACTCCTTAGCTTTAAATCTTAGATCCTTAAGAAGCGGGGGGCATTAACTTTCGAATTGATAGTCGCATGCGATTTTTAAATGCTCTTTTATTGGGTATCTAGTTGGCCTCTAGGCAGCGGCTGGGGTGCCGGCGGCAGGAGTGGTCACAGCGGCTGTGGTGCGGGGGGCAGCGGTAGTCACTGGGACGGCGCTACTAGCCGGAACGTTCGATGTTGGAGCCAGAGTGCTGACAGTAGTGGTAGGAGCCCCGCTCGAGCTAGCCACGGGGCCGTTGGTAGAGGGGACGGGAGCGGCAGTGGAGACTGTGGGGACACCGTACTTGAGGCAACTGTCGAGTAGGTCGTATGTGGCGGCCGTGTCGCGGACGTAGTTGCTCTCGGTGGTGTTGGTGCACTGGTATTCGGTATCCTGGATAGCCTTCAAGCCCTCACTGAGGCTGCTGGCCGAGGTGGCGGCATTGGTGGCAATGTCGTAGATGAGGGAGACGTCGCTGTTGGCCTGTGGAATGTTTTTTGGAGTCAGTAGAGGCAGAGGACTGTTGCACACTGGGCCCTGGGCTCCGTACTCACCGCGGTGGCGTAGCAGGTGAAGAAGGTACTGGTGTCATTGTCGCTGTCGCAGGTGGTGAAGGCGCTGCACAGGGAGGTGACCTCCTGCCGGTAGATCGTCTGCTGCTGGGCGACCTGGGCGGTGAGATTGGCCGTCTCTGCGCTGGCGGTAGTCACGCAGGACCGGTACGAGCTAGAGAAGGTGGCGGCCACCTCGTTCAGCATCGGCAGATACAAGTTGAAGCACTGCGTGGTCACGTCGGCCGAGATGGTGGTATCGAAGTCCCGTGCGTGCACCAGGTACTGGTCCAGGGCGCTCTGCAGTTGCGTCTGCACGGCTCCCGGCATGGCCTGCGAATCGATTGGAAACTCATTACTGCCAACGAATCCGAATGGGGTAAAGGATCGGGGGGGTCAATTACTTGGGCGGCGAAAACGCTGGCGAGGATTAGCACACTGCAGAGAAGCTTCATGTTGGTCGATGGTTCTGATTTCACTGTCGTTGGCAGGCAGGAAGCTCCAAAGCTTTATATACTTGGTGGTGCCGTCGCGACTGGAGGCGGATGATTGATCCGTTTGCCTCGATGAATTTTTGTGAATTTTTGTGAATTTTTTCTGCTCTGTCTGTGCAATTAGTCTGAGGGCGGGCGGCGATCAATTAAGAAGCATTAAGTTGTATGCGTAATACCCAGAGTCCCAAATTGCTTTGCATGTGCATCGTCAGGGTCAAATCGAAACAGCGTTAACGACTGATTCGGACCGATAGAAAGCGTTTACAATAAAGTGTCGATAACCCTTTCACTTGTTCAACGGAATCCGGCAGCTTTTGGGCTTTTCAAATTATATCTATGGTGGAATTCGGTGGCTCTAATTACCAAAGTTTAAAGCCATAAAAGCGTTGTAATGAATTCCGCTGCCAAAGAGTTGCATCATAAATTAAATCCATCCGAAGAATCATTTCAAACATTCAGAGAATTCCGCTTTTGCATTCGACTTTGCTATATTTATTCCTTTCTTGATTCCTATAATCATGAGGAAAAAACTTCTTGAGTGCGTTACGAAGATCTAACCCATTTTATAATACTTCATTCAAGGGTATCAAATGTTTGATTTTCTCACAAAATTATGCTACACACTTTGCACAGTTTTAAAGCAACTGAATCGATATTTGCAGACGGTGCCCTGCCCGCAGCGATAAGCGAGCATATAAACAAACCATACATCAATGTCAGATTACACGGCCAACTTTCGGTGACTTTAGGTGGAAATTTGGCTACTTTTTGTCAGTCGGGCGTTGGCAGAGACATGGAAACTGCTACTATTATCACGCTGCTGGTGCTGGTCCCAAGGATATGCCTGGGGGTAGGCTGAAGAAGTGTCCTTTCCATTTGCGACAGCTATCTAACCAAACGGATTTTTTCTTACAGTCAGTAGATGAAAAGCCCAAGACTGTGGAGAGCCTGCTCTCCTACCTGCAAACCAATGAATCCATAACCAAACAATGCTTCGCCCACTACTTGCCACAGTTGGAGAACGAGGGGGCCACCTGGTCGAAGAGCTACAGCGGCTGCCTGAATAACGCCACTAGTGAGCGCCAGTCGGTGGCCACGAATGTCGGTGTGGAGCAGAATCAAATCCGGGAGGCGGCCATGGGTATCAGTGCATTTATAGACCACTGTCTAGGTATATCCAACGCCTTGGACTTCTTCAACTGCTTTGCCAAAATGGTGAGTAGGCAGCTGGTAAGGAATGGCCTGAATCTCACTCCCATCTGTCCACAGTCCAAGCAGCAGTTGGCCACTGTGTACACCATTTCATACAACGCCTCCGCGGATGCTCTCAGCCTGACACAGCAATTGGGCACGATCGATGTGGAGCACTACCTGTGCACGAATCGCACCGAGCACAGCTATGTGGTGGGAACGGACCGGATCTTTCGAGAACTGGACCAATGCCTGCAGAAAAATGAGGAACATTAAAGTTTGGGCTAGGCTACCGCACAGATGTGTGCTCTTTAATCTAAATAATCGTATGCTTCGTCTCGGCACTGACTGAGTTCCCTGTAGGCCTGGCGCAGCTCTTCCATGTAGGTCCTTTGGGCGTCCAGGGTGCAGAGTAGATAGGTGCGATACACCTCATCGTAGTCCTCCCGCAATCGCGTTTGCGCACTTGTGGCATTGAATGTGATTTCAGTGAGAATGTCCAGATTGCGACTCCCCTGCGGTATTGATATGGTGAATTACCGTCCGACATATACATATATGTAATTAGAAGGAGGTGGGCTAGACTAGACTCTTCCAACTTACGTTATCGCTGATGCACTGGAAGTAATCGAGATTATTCTCCAAGGTGTCACAGATCTGGAGATTGCCACACACTTCGCTGGCTCCTAGCTCGATTTGCATTCGCTCCAGTTTCTCGTCGATGGAGAGCTCAATCTTGGTCTCGTTGGCCGTCTTCTCGCACAGATCAAATGCATCAGCGAAGGCCAGCGAGGCATTGGCGTAAGCCAGGAGATACTCGTCGTGGCACTCATCGATGGTGCCGTCTGGCATGGGAGTCAGCCAATCGAAGCCGAATGCCTGCGTCCGTGCCGCGCAAATACCCAACATAAACAGAGCCAGCAGCATATGGCGACAGGTGGTCTCGCTTAGTCGCTCGTGTTGCCGTACCGAACTCATTTGGCCGCAGATCTCGAATGCCGCCTCGACGGCGCTACTGCCTCGATGGCCCACTCAATCCAGTATCTTGTATCGCCCGGGAAGTTTGTAATTGGCCAGTTCCTCGAAATTCCCTCACTCTTTTTATGGCCCCATCGAAGGTTAACAGATATGACGGACTACTTGAAAAGTGCTCAAACTGTTAAGCTGAATTTCTTTATAAATTCAAAGAAAATAATAATGTTTCTAATGTTCTACGCCAGCAGGTCAGACTGTACACATAATAAGTATGTATTAGTGTAGTATCAGCATTTGAAAAGTTCATGTATTTCGCTATCTCTCCGCTGGCGTTCACATTGATTGCAAGTGTTATTCGGTAGCTCAAAGCTGCCTAATCCGATGTTTCGTGCGTACTGGCGACCAGTAGCCCTCCGTGTGTGTGCCGCCCCTTATCTACTCCGATTAAGCGAATTTCTCACGTTACTTCGTACAGCCAGTCTCACCAGTCACCAATGAGCGGCCGCGGGCGACAACAATTTCAAAGCGAACTGAAAAGTATTCTACATTTTGAGCAAGTGCTTTATTTAGGCCTTTTTTCTGCCTTCAGTTTTCTCATGGGCACAATTCATTAATTATGCCTCGATGGAGCAGATCACAACCCTAGAAGAAGCGCTTAAAGAGGCTCCAAGCTCCCTGGTGAGCCTTGGGCAAGGCCCTGCTGAGATCCTCCTCCGGTGCGTTCGGGGACTCTTCGGTGACTGGAACGTTAGTGGGAACGACGGTGCTGATTGGAGCTTCCGTCTCATCGGTGGATGGGGCATCAGTTATGGGAGCAGCGGTAGAGGGGGCATCCGTCACTGGCGCAGCGGTGGATGGGGCATCAGTTATGGGAGCAGCGGTAGAGGGGGCATCCGTCACTGGAGCAGCGGTCGAGGGGGCATCCGTCACTGGAGCAGCGGTCGAGGGGGCATCCGTCACTGGAGCAGCGGTCGAGGGGGCATCCGTCACTGGAGCAGCGGTGGAGGGGGCATCCGTCACTGGAGCAGCGGTCGAGGGGGCATCCGTCACTGGAGCAGCGGTGGAGGGGGCATCCGTCAATGGAGCAGCGGTAGAGGGGGCATTCGTCACTGGAGCATCAGTGGGCACCACTCCGCCGGCTAAGCAAACCGTGAGCTGCTCATCGCAAGTATCCATATCGTGGGCATAGTCCACACGGGCGGTGTCCACGCAGTCGGTCAGGTCAGTCTCGATCACGCTGTAACTGGCGCTGATGCGGTTGAAGTCCAGGTTGGAGTCACTGTTCAGGGTGAACGTGGTCTTGTAGCTGTCGGAGGACTGAAATGATCTCAGGTTAGATGGGATTCATGGGGGGAAACTTCAATCTGTACGCACGGAATCGCGGTAGCACTCGAAGAACTTCAAGCCGTCGACTAGTTCGTCGCAGCTGGTGAGGCCCGTGCACATGGCGTTGGTGCGATCCTGGAGGTTCTGGCGCTCTGAGGCACTCTCGGCTGTCACGATGTCCCTGGAGGCCTGGGCGGTGTTAATGCATCCGTTGTACCTCTGATTGTAGTTGACGATGACTTCCCTCTGGTCGTCCAGGTAGCTGTTGAAGCAGTCGTTGACCAATAGTGAGTCATCGGCACGTGTGTCGAAGGTGGAGATCATGCGGCTCATGGCGAACTGCTGATGGGACAGCATGGACGCAAGATCCGCTGGGTGCTTGGGCAGCATAGCGCTGCAGCTGGCGGCCAGCAGGAGGCACAGGGCGAGGGCAAACTTCATAGCTGGAAAATTGCGCGATCCTTAGGAGTTAACGTATGCGCGAATGGCGGACCTAAATGATTACTGGAAGTCCCCAGGGTAAGGCTGTGATTTTTATAGCCCGCCATAATCTGGTTTTGTGATCAAATGGAAATAGTTCTCGAAACTCATATTACGGCCTGATTAAAAGCTAATTAACTTATTATCTTGTACTTCACATCGTGGCCGAGATTCCTTCCGATTTGGTTTTTAATTTTGGTTCTTTTCTGACTAACCACCGCCGAAATATCGATTGTCTCATGGTCACGGGTGCTTTACCAATAGTTCATGCACTGCGGGAAATACCACCACTTCAAGAAGCGGCTAAATTAACACCTAAGATCTTGAATAATGCGAATATTACCAACAAATCATATCTTAGACTTAAGATAATCCTACATTTTATTGCTTCTTCAAGAATAAACGACTTGTGCTCTTTTCCGAGAATATTGGCATGGCTGCACACCTTATTTTTTCAGTGTTTGACATGCTTAATGCTTATCTTTAGGCCATTTTTAATTGCTTCGCTCCATAGTGACCAGCCACGATTGCCATGAGTGGCACGGTACAGTATATACTCTATGGTTAGTGGTTATGTACAATAAATAAACTGCGAGAATTGGAGAAGTAGTGTATGTTATTATTACGGAATAGGACGGCTAACAAGTCCGCCTCCCCAACCGGAAAGGAAAATCCGCTCGGCCCGCCTCGTAGCACAATTTTGTTACAGTATGTATAAATAATATAATTAAATGATAGCAAATTTTTAATTGTAACTTGGTGCAGTGTTGAATCCAAATCAGCGCCTCTAAACTCTGCACCCTTCGCACCCCCCCTTGGCGCGGCCCTGGGTGCTACTCACGCTATATGTAGGTAAGAGTAAAATGTACTACTTTATCGAGGACTTGCCAGATAGCATTCTATTACTCGAATACTTCTGTCTTTTGTCTAGCACTATCACTAGCTATAGCCGCAAAATGAATCATCAGGTGGCCATTGCGTATGCTTAACATTGTTTCATTTTTATTGAACGCCAATCCGAGGCTATAAACGATATCAAAGGGGCTTTTTTACAGCCCAATAAACAGTGGGACTCCCCTAAAGCCCATCCATGTACATAGCAATTCAGATACTCAGTTGTTTTTTTTATATATTTTTTTTTTCAATAAATAGTTTATATACAAATACATATGTATGCTTTTTTATTGTTAGGCTTTTATACTGAAAGCTTAAGAAGGTACAGGCTTAGTACCGCTTGAGCCACTGCTGGATGTTCTTCACAATCTGTTTCAGATCTGCGTTACCCTGTGTCTCGATCTTGGTGATCAGATGATCCAAGTCCTCTTCAGGCGGCGACTCCTTGTTGTCCGAATCATCGGCTGTCGTGGATTGTTCAGTTGTCGTGGATTGCTCAGCTGTCGTGGATTGTTCGGTTGTCGAAGCTGAGGAGCTATCGGTAGAGGACACTGTGGTACTCTCGGTAGAGGACACTGTGGTACTCTCGGTAGAGGACACTGTGGTACTCTCGGTAGAGGACACTGTGGTACTCTCGGTAGATGCCTCAGTGGACGACTCTGTTGTTGATGATTCTGTGGTGTCTGTGGTGCTCGGGTCTGTTCCGGGAGAGGATGTAGTGCTCGGGTCTGGTCCGGGAGAGGATGTGGTGCTCGGGTCTGGTCCGGGGGAGGATGTGGTGCTCGGGTCTGTTCCGGGGGAGGATGTGGTGCTCGGGTCTGGTCCCGGTGTTGGTCCCGTCGTTGGAACATCACCACCGGCCATGCAATCGCCCATACCCTCGTAGAGGGCAGCACTGTTCTCGGCATATTCGCGCTGTGTCTTGTTGGTGCAATCGTTTTGCCACACCGTGATTAAGCGGCGCGTCTCCTCAATTTGGGCCACCAGCTCATTGGAATCGGCGGAGATAGTGAACATGGACTTGGCGTTGGCGGAACCCTGCAAACGAAACGAATTGTTTGTGTGTGATTACCTCTGTGTGGTTTGGTGTGTTGCGGCGATTTCAACTTACGGCTTGGGCGGTGCATGTGAAGTAATCCTTGGGGTCAGCAAGAGAGCTGCACTCATTGAGGGCTTCACAGGAGCTTGCACCGGAGTTTTCGATGGCAGTGCGGTTGGGCTGGGTGGTATCGACGATGGCTTCCACCTTGATCTGCGCCTCGCTGATGCACTGCTTGGTGTCCGTATCTAATTTTTCTGCGGCCGCGTTTATTTCCGCCATATAGTAGGCGAGGCATTCGAGGGTGTGGGAAGCGTCGCTTCCGGCGTCCCGGGACTGCATCACGAGCCGCATTAAATGCTCCTGCGGCAAGAGCACGGGCTCCGACGCAAAGGCCTGACTGAGGCCAACGGCCAGGAGGAGTACGCACACTTGGGCGTACATTTCGCAGCTGGGAATTGATTTACTTGGGTTGCTTCGGATTTCGTTTACGGGACTCGCTCACTGCAAGCGATCGATTCGTACTTGGACGGATTGCCAAACCGGCTTCAGTATTTATAGGCACGCCGCTCAAGTGCTCGATATCGGAGGACCATAAAACAATGCGACGCTCCGAATAATTTCTAGTTAGAAAACCCCTGTTATTGGCCATGTTTTTGACTCAGTTTGGGCCTATCAAGCCGGCTATCTATAAGAAATCAGTCGGTATTACCTTTCTTATCGGTTTATAACTGCCACTCATGGAGACCCCTTCAAATCAATTTCGATCCAAACAATCGCTAGGCGCTCCACCTGCTAAGGCCCCTAACGCACCTTCACTTGATATGTTTATGAAGTGTTTTGCGTTCCACACTTTATCAATGTCAACACTTCCTAGAATTGGGAATTCAGTGAAGCCATTTCTTTTCTAGGTTCCATCTGAATTCCTCTGCACTCTCATTTTCCGCTCAAAATCTAATCTTCCTCAAGTACTTGAAATCTCGCGAAGACACACACGTGCCCTTTATACACATATCTCGCTGAGCATTTGCTCTTCCCAATATCGATTCCGGGTAAATCCATTAGAGATTCTCCGAAATTCTAAAAATACGTTTTAGAGGAAAACCCATTGTCTACACTGCCCAGCGAACCACTTGGCACTTGGATAGATAACAGCTGAGAGAGTGGAAAGAAAACAATAACAGGTGATTAGGCTAAGGTCGAATATTCTCGTTGGCGCTTGGTACTCAGCTCCTTTTGATCTACATCTGGTAGACAGAAAAAGAGAGCAATCCAAAAAAAAAAAAGTCTGCTTTCCTGTCTGCAAATGATTAACAGATAAGCAGACCAGCCAATGAAATATTTGTATTGCTCGAAAGCATTGAAATCGTGCAATAACCGATTTGCATTGGGTTAGAGATAGGTTAGATACTTAAATGTCATAGATTTCATTAAATTTAAAGGGCCTCCACTCTTAGTTTTTTTGATTAATTTTCCATGGAATCAGGATAATAGAAAAGTTTCCCATTTTTTGACAAATACCAGCAGCAGTAATTGTGTTTACTGAATGAAACCCCAATCAATGTCGCATTGAGCCTTATCGCAGCCCCTTGTCGGTCGGTCACTTACAACGATGACATCTAAATGGGGAAAAATACGTACGCCCCGACAATGACTCACTTAGCACAAGATGTCGCTCGTTGAGTTGTTATTATTGCACACCACACACACACACCAGTTCTGCAGATATGTGCATATATATCTGACCAGCCATATTTATACATGTGCTCGTAGCTGTTCTCATCGCATGCCTCTGCATAATTATCAAATTCACTGGAAATCGCATCGTAAGGCATCAACAGCAGCAGCAGGAGCAGCAGCAGGAGCAGCAGCAGCACAAGGACAAGGCGGACGACACCGACTTCTAATTTGCATATCTTAATTGCGTTCTTTGTGTGCGTGAGCCTTGGCATGTGTCTTTATGTGTATCTCTGTTAGCAGTTGGGTGCCGAAGTGCATTGCACACTGCACGCACACGCAAAAGCGCAATGTGGCAGAGTAAATCAGGGCCATGAGGCAGGGAGCCAGGGATGCTTTCAGGACTCCTACTAAGTTATTGGCTTGATTTTGGAAAGAGAAATCTGTGCCACTACCTGCCATATGGCATATGCCTTCCCGTTACCGTGTACAGGCATGTGAGTGTTTATAACATTTCTAATTTGTTTTAATTGCAGTGACAACACCGCCACAGGCGTCACCAGAAACAACAACAAATGCAATTAAATTTGAACGAAAAGCACCGCAAGGAAAATGTTTTCACTGTTTACTTAACTGTCAACGTTAGCTTAAAGTTATTCGTTTGGTTTCACCTGTGCGAAGAGTACCCTAACGCCCTATCGAGCAGCATTCTGAAGTGCACCGATATAAGGATACTATATTTATCTATGCAGACTAATCCCTTGGCTCCATAGCTTTCTGGCTGATGCTTAGCCCAGAGCAGACCCTTTTTAATATATACAAAGTCGGAAACATTAAGAAGACCTCCGATCGGCAAGGGTATCCAAACCATCGTAACCAGCTTTTCTTTCCTATTTTTTCATTTTTGTTTGTGCTTCTGGGCGTAAAGTTTTTCCAAACTGGGTTACATGTTTTCTTTGCTCTCACTCACTGCCTCTATCTACCACCGGTCCGCCACTGGATCTTTGATAAACTTGGACTGATGGCAAATGCAGAAAGTTTTATTTGCATCGCATCTGGATAGCGGCCTACTCCGTTTCCCGCCGGCATGCATACATCGGGGGCCGTTAATTAAGTAAGTTGCAATAGGTTTTAGTTTCTTGTTTGTGTACATCACTGGAATACACTAGTCGGATTCACAGTCGTTGGTGATACCTTGCAGCACTGCCAATGTAAGTCAGTTGATTTGTCTGTCAGAAAATCTGCCAGTTGTACATCAAATCTACATATTTAAAGTGACTCTGCAAGTGACTACTATATCCAGTGGATGGATTCCAAATGCATTTCTTTAGTTTATTTATAATTTAGACAATATGATTGATAATGCTACCGATTTTCGATGCCAATCCGTGCTTCTTGCGGTGGCTAGTACTGCCCCCATCAGTTGAGGCCTCAGGGTAGTTCCTAGTACTTAAAGTACTTTCCCTCGTAGTTGGGGCTGTTGATGAGCTTGGTATACCGCTTGAGGTTGGAGCTGGTGTTGTTCTTGGGGTTGTGGTTGAAGGGGGGCTTGGGGTTGGGGTTGAAGTTTGGGCTGGCACTGGGATTGCACCGGATAGGCAGTTCTGCAGATCGATGTAGGTCTGGTCCAGGCGGGCCTCGTAGCGACGCGCCGAGCTGTTCGAGCAGCCCTCCTCACGGAAGGTTACCTGCTGAATGTCCTGCGTCAGGTCAGCGGAGTACAGCGAAGCTGTTGACGAAAGGTTGTACGCATTCCTCACACTCTCAGAGCCCTGAAAATTAATTAAAATTAGTTCGAGTCTCTCCATTGCGTGTCTGAGTGCGTACATACCTGAGCGGAGTAGCAGTTCAAGTTATCGAGTGCGTTCGCTCCGTAGGTGCAATTCGTTAGAGCCTTACAAACGTCTATCGTTGAGTTTCCTAGGCTGTATACAACCTGATTGTACTTTGCGTAGAGGTCGGCAGTCTGTTCGGTGGCCTGATCCTTGCAGAGGCCGTACTCGTACTCGTACTGCTTGAGGTGTTTGTCGAACTCCTCGCTGTAGTACTGAAAGCATTCCAACGAACGGGTGGGATTGCTCTTCTGCAGCTCGGCGGTGGAGCTCATCAGCTGCAACATCCGGGAGTGGCCGAACATCTGGGTTGTGGGAGTGGCAGTGGAGCTACAGCTGGCCGCCAGGCAGGCCAGGAGCATGACGATGACAATTCCTTGCTGCATGTTGTTTGTTCGAGTGATCGTTCGTAACTTGGTCAAAAGCGAATTGTGGTCAACGCTTTTATGGCCCCTAAAAAGTGAGGGGATACCAGCCCATCTATCTATGTAGCCTCTTATCTTGACACTGATAAAGACAATCAATAATGGAATCACATTGCACAATACTTAGTGAACGGGTAGTTTCTGTGTGCAAAAATATTGTGAGCAAGTAAAGCTATCAGCCATCGGCTACCACTATCAGGGGCTTTCCCTTACGCTACCATTGAATACCGCTAATCGCTGGGACTAATTTATGTCTCAAACTCTGGTCAAAAGAATTCCCCAATTAAGCAAAAACAAAATTACTTTGAGTGTTGACTAATTTCGGAATATGTATACAGAATCATATTTTTAGATAGCGTTCTCCGCCCGCTTCGGTAATTGGGAAATTTCGAATACCCGTTTTCTGAGAAATAAGTTAATATCGATTCGTACTTGCCTTCCAGCTAAACGCCAAACAGAAGACAAACAAAGAACCAACCGTTCGAGGAGGTAATCACTCAATTACGCCCAACTTTCCAAGGTGCGGAATGATGCACCACACTGCGTATGATTAATATTACTCACCTAGCCCTGCAGTTCTGCCTCGCTGCTGTCACTGTCGCTGCCTCCTCATCCTCCTTGTGACTGAGCTGCATACTAAGCAGGGAGTCCATCCTGCTGCTTCTGCTGCTGCTGCATCTGCCTCAAGGTTCGCGATCCAGCGAGCTGTCGGGTAGCATCCCCTGATGGATTGTCAGACATCAGGCCACTTGGGTAACGCTGTTAAATGGCTCACAAATAAGTGTAATTGTTTTGTAAATGGCCCAGCAGCAAACAATTTTCAATGCTGCTCAATGTCTGTCTGTCTGCCTGTCAGTCAAAAGCGCACTCACTCTTTCGCTTGGTTCGTGAGTGAGTCAACAGCTTGAAGAAAAATCACCTCGGAAATTTCGTATAATTTTATTTACGACCCCTACTTACCCCAGTACTTCGCAGTGCCAGCCAAATGAGTTTCCTCAAAGATAACCAGCTAAAAACATTTGCTAAGTGACTAACAATTAACAAATGGCGGCCATAAATATACACACAAAAGGCAATAAATATGTATTAATGTCGATGTGCTATCTTGATTCCAAGATATCTTCAGATTTATGCAGCTAGTGTACAGTTTTTATGTCCCGCCTGAACTTATAGAAATCTACACATGAGCTGGTCTCCATTTTCAGCGATACTAGAACATGAAAGTGAAAGATTATTGTCGCTAATCATGATAGCTGTATCTACAATAAATTCACACATCTCCTAAGATTACCCCACGTCATAGTAGGACAATATTTTTTAAAGTTAGCCAGGCACTTCGCATTGACGACAACAATTCCCAAGTCGCTTATCACCGGTGCAATTATTAAACGTCACTACATATAGACAGATAACTACCCAACCTTAGACCGGAAAAATAAGCTGATAAGAATTTCGATGGCAATTACCAGCCGGTAATTAAAAATCGGTTAAATTACGGCCTGCAGTGGGCATTACAATTGGGAAGGGAAGGGCATTAGGTACATATAGGTATACCAACCTATACGGGTATGTACGGAATTATAAACACGGATATCTAATGAACGATTCTCGGTATTGCGTTATATGATTATTTTTACAAGCACTGATGTCACTGCCAATTATTAATATTATTATAAACAATGAACAACGCAATAACAGAGAAGGACTTTACGATTGGCCATAACAAGAAGCGACAGCAATCAAAGGAGATGAAGGCGAGTATATAATACAAGGAGTAGGATACATAAGCCAACCTCCAGCGCGACCAGCCATAAAGGGAGCCAAACCCGGACCCGGACACGCTGTCATTTTATGGGAAGCGCGTGAAATTCAATTAAAACGCATGCTCAATATTAGTGACAATAATCGAAAGAGATAGAGACTGCGATGGCGATGGGTGAGTGTGGCTAGGCCATAAAAGCGAGATATTGCATAAAATTGAAGGGCAACAGTCGGCCAGACGATTGGCGGCAGTGACAGTGGCAATGGCAATGGCAATGGCAGTGGCAATATAGTGGAGGGCAGCTACCTCATCGTGGATAAAACTCCATGTAAATGCCGGAAAAGGGAATAGTTTTGTGTGATTTATATACATACTATGTGCCGCCAAAGCGTGCGTGTGCTGCACCGCATTCCAGTAGGCGTTTAATTGGATATGGCATGTGCGTCACTCTCCATAAAGATTACATGCTGATTATGAAACAATTCTTATCTCATACGTGTGCATGGTAATTCAAATACCTGACGAACTGCAGCTTGGAAATTAATTAAGCTTCTTTTTGCAGGAGTAGGGGTACAGCTTTGTGAAAATGTTGAAAATGTTATGAGACACAATCGCGGGCGAATAAAAGAATGATAAAATAATTGAAAATTGCGAACTGTGCCAGCGCGATGGCGCATACGCCATGTTTGCCCAGAACTGCAATGTCTGCACACTACTGCCATGTACAAACTAATACTTTTTAACCGCTTTAATAAAAGTTTGGCAAAAATACAACACAACTGCTGCAAATCCTTCATGCATTTTGTGGAAAACAAACGAAACTTTATGGGGAGAACATAAATCTGCATAAATAAATGAACAAAAACCCACAAAACATGACCGCAGAAAAATAATAAGTCCACCAAATCTATTTGCCAAACTTTAAGATGTTGAATCACAAACGAAATTTTAAATATAAATGGACAGAGAGAGAGAGAGAGAGAGAGAGAGCGAGAGAGAGGGTAGACTGTCCAGAAGTGAGTAGAGCGCCAGAGTCGAAAAGCCGCAAAAAGCAAGAACATTAAAATGAAGTCAACAATGGACGGAAGTTGGCCAGCTGCAGACGAGGACTCCACTTGGACTACATACAAAATGAAAGCCTCAAGTGCCCTGAAAAATTGTGCTCGAGCTGAGCAATATCAAAGCGCCCAGCAGCAGTCTTTTTGCTTGGACAAAAAGAATACCAACAAATGTAAAGTTTATTAGATAGCAAATGCTGAGTGCGAGAGGAGATGGAAGGAGTGGCGAGCCAGAGCCAATAACAGCACGGACCATTCACATAGGCATCTGCAGAATGCAATAAAAGCGCTTAACCCGAAAGCAAACTCTTTGCAAATATGTGAAGCGGCTACGAACAATTTAAGAGGCTACCACCAAGGACCATTAAATCGAGGGGCAACAAGAGGACATTCAATTTAGCTCTTTAACGGCGAAGCAGCTAATGCTCTTACGTGTGGAGATATCCGTCTGCATGCGTTAAGGTGTAGATATATATGTATACCCCTTACTAGGGTATTGCAGCCAGAAAACCTGTCCAAAAAACTCAGACGTAAACAAAGGAAACAAGCTGGCCATAAATTTTGCTTGGCTAACTGAAAGACAAAGCCTGCAGGGAACATCAGCAAATATGGAAATTCTGCAAATCAATGAGGAGAAAAATTCGATTTCTTTTTTCAGTTCAGTTCAGTTCAGTGTGGTACGTACGAATCATGTTTTGTCTTCCCCGCGGCGTGTACATGAAAAGCTTCAACAGCCTCATACTCCTCATACTATAATTATACGCAATCGTTCAAAGTATGTTCCTGTGGAAACCGGTTCAGTGCTTGGATCGAGATGATTCAACCATAATGTTAAATGGAATAATTTAGTACATGGATATGGGGCCCACGAGTATTCAATTCAATTTACGCTCAACTGCGTCAATGTTGAAATTGCTACACGGTTGTTCCTTTAATGATTGTTTGCTGGTTGGTTGTGGTTCCGATATGCCACGCAGCTACGAGTAGTTTCATGATACGCTCATAAATCAAGCCAAAAATTCAAATGTTATCAATACATTGGGATATTCCAATGCAGTGTGGGTTAGTCCGGCACCCATCATCTCTCGTTCCCACTCTCGGTGTGCTCCGACTCCGAACATTAGAGATAAGCCAGCTCTGCATACATACATACATACATACCTACATATGTACATACACAAATATATACTCTACCCAAGCACAACCCTTCGTTCGCTATATAGCGCCAATGACGATTATGTATAGCTTTTGGGGTTGGCTGCAGTCCATAGCCATCTATGTATCTGTGTGCAGGGGCTGTTGATAAGGGCAACCGTTAGTCGCGTACTTTGCGAGAATAATTATACCTCATACCCCGGCACTCGCAGAAGACGAGGGTATATGCTGTACATGAACATTTATGCAACATCCAGGGCGCGATATATTTATGGCCCGCAGTAAGATGGCAATGGTGCATAGATATCTTTAACTTGTAGTACGCACACTGCAAATACATATATTTAAAAACTTTTTTCTCTTTCGACTCATTTAGAGAATAACGATTATATGTTACGGTAACCGAACAGCGGGTATCTTTAAGTCGCAATTAAAACCTGTTGTACGGTTTTTAGAACAGGTTATTGCATATCTAGAAACAGCCACCGCAGCAGCCGCTGCTAGCCAAGCTAATGTATATAAACAGTTGGCAGCCTACTTTCGGGCGCTGCGATTTCTATATAAATAGCTACTTCCATATAAATAGCATAGCCTCAACCTGTTCGCGCCTCATTCGCTGCAACGAACCTCGAAACACGACGCGTACCTGTGGTCCCGATCGCATCAAAGTACTCCGCCGTATGACAGTTATTTTTTTTGCCAAATGAATCTCTGTTCAGCCGTAGAGAATCCTTATTGAGTGACACACACCTCCTAAATAGATATTTTCAATCCAAATCAAAAATAAAGCTATACAAAACGAGCCATAACACGCATAATACATGTGCTCCAAGGCTTTGGTGAGTAGAATTTTTCCGAAATGCTTTGCACAGAAAAGCAATCGAATTTTGGAAAAAAAAATTGTGTGAAATGCAAGCAACGAATGGTCGAGAAATCCTTTCTCTTTGTTTTGGAGATTTCTGATTATTAGGCCCCAGCTTTAGAAAAGGCAAATGGTAGAAAACCTTCCCCCTAGAGTGGTTGCATCCATGTCAGCATAATTGTAGTGTCTGGATTTAACGTGTTGCCTACGTTTCCGGGCGGAGGCAAGTATCATGGGAGCCGGCTCCGCTCGCTCCGGCCTTATGTATGCAAACAGCAATTGAATGAATCCCATAAGCCAAGCGAAATGTTGACCATATTCACAGCTGTGCACATACATACGCTCGAAAACGAAAAGTGGACAGGGCGTAGGAATGGTTTCAAAATTTGAAATTAACAAAAACCGGGCGCAAAAAGCGCTGTCACAAATGCAGCTGAAAATCTAATAAAAAGAACAACATAGGAAGGCAATTTCCGGTAGCAGAGGCATTAGATACCCTTGAATATGCATTGTGTCTATGTCCACTACATCTGTGATATAGTGATACGATAATGTGCATCCATAGTGAAAAAAGGACTCGTTACGCTGAATCCAAAAACCGACGACGCGGATGTATATTCTATCTAACTTTTCTGCATGTCCAATCTGTGATCAAAGTCATAATACCATATGTGAGGGTATAACAAGCAAAATGGATCACTGTGTATGTGTGTCCCTGCTTCGGTATTCACTCCCAGCGGCTCGGTCTGCTGTGGCATGCTGCAAGCGAATTAGTGTTGCTACTCGACACTTTGTCCAGGCCCCAAATCTGGGCTGAATGGATGTCGACCGGCCGTAGGACAACTAGAAGTTGACAGCCAGCCATCACAGCACCCCAGCACCCAGGGGAGGGGAAATGGTGAGATGCAACAAGAAAAACCCGCTTGCACTTTTCCTTCAAGTGCAGTATGTTGTTGTGCCACCACCCTCCCCGGTGGCAACCCCCCTCTTTTTTTTTGAGAATGCTTAACGTGTCACTTGCCTGGCATCCCGGCCAGATGCAAAAAATGCAAATTAGACATCAAAAATGCCTTAATGAAAATTTCGCCTGTGGCAGTAGAACAAAAAGACATGAGATGGAAAGTTATTCACACTTTTTCCCAACTAATGTATATTTCTTGCTCATCTTGGTCCATTTTCCATGCCTTGTCCATCCAGAAGTTTTCCATCTTTTTCTATGGGTGAATTGTGACGCCAAACTACTCTTGTATTGGCATAGTTTCGGACATAGAAATCGATCGACGTAAGAGCCAGATACAATACTTTAGATATTTATAAATACGTTTCCTCTCCCATAATTAAGGCTGCACAGAGGGAATCCGTTACCGTGCACTGATTAACTTGGTAGCTCGTTTCAACGCATTTGAAATAGGGAAACAAACCGGCAAAACACCTCCAAAAATAAACACATTCGCTGGCGCAGGGAAATTAAATAAATTTCGCAATTAAAAGTTGCACGCCTTCAAAAACATTTGTCATAGTAAATAAACGTAAATTAAGTTTATTTTCTCTATTTTCCCCTCACACTTGCCACTCTGCCATGGGAATACCGTCACCCGATTTCATACCCCTAACATTCCCCACAACCGAACAACAGACAGTTCTGTTGTGGCTGCGCTTCCGACGACCGACCAACTGGCATCGCTTGTTGTCCTTTTATACAGTTTTGCTGTTTGCTGTTACGTAGCATACCCTTTCCGAGGGCATTACAATTTCGGACGGAATCTCAACTTTAATGACGAGCCAAGCATTTCTGAGCCAATTTATATACAAAGTCTTTAGGATACTATGAGGAGGGTTAAATATCAGACATTTTCCTTTACCAAATAGAAAACTTTATATTCATTTTTGCAGCAGCTGCTCCCACAATCCTTCAACAATAATCCAAACAATCTTCATAATTAAAAGTCGAAAATGTATTTGGTTCGGATTGAGATGTCGCAAGGGTGTTAAAAGCCTCTGTTAACTTCAGCTCTTGATATTTTATTGTATTTATTTTTATTCCATTTCGTTTGCTAAATAAGCAGGAAGCACTGTTGTTCAAGGCAGGGAAGGGTACGGGCAGGGGCATAAGGAATGAGAGTTGAAGGGAGGCCAAGTGCCGCTTCCGCTGGAACTGAAACGGGAGCTGCAACTGTAACTGTAACTGAAACTCTTCATGTTGTTTTAATTACTTTCTGATTTATTTAGCACCGCGACAATGGGACAGAACCGACTCTGCGATGCGAGTCGTAGTCGCTCTCGTCCACATTATTGACTCTAATTAGTGGCCCTGTCACCTGAGTGCAGGCGGATGGGGGAGCAGACAACAAAACAGCAGGATCTAGGCCCTGTCTCATGGAACATGAGCGCGCATAAAATGTTGGAAAATTGCAGTCGGGCAAACAGCCAAATTATATTTACATTATTTAAGTGCAGTGGCAAAATTTGCATCTAAAATCCAGCCCGTCGCCATAGGCATATGCAACAACAATATCAAATAGCCACCCAACACCAACTACAGTGACCTCAATTCTCGCTGGTTTTCAAACAGAATTAAATAAGCTGCTCGTTTTCTATGAAATTTGTTTGTCGTTTCAGGTAATTTCCCAGCCTGACCAGAAATTAAAGCAGAATTTTCATTATTTCATTATTTAGGCCGTGTCTGTTGTTGCAACCTTTCATTGTATTCCATGGCTCCGTGTCGGTGTGGGAGTGGGGCATGGTCATTCTGACTGTAAAATACCCGCTACTTGGGCTAAGTTCAGCATGAAATGCTGCCAAAAGGTTTTGGCTGAAATTAATTCATTAGCTCTATCTGTTGCAAAGATTTCCGCAAATACAATATAGCCTTGTACACCACAAACATCGAGTAGTAACAATGGGCGCGTGTACCAGGACAACTTGATCAGTTCTGGTGAACGCGTATGATCCATACATTACTATCTCGACGTCGACAATACACTCGCCTCAGAACGTATTGATATTGGCTTCGAAAATTCGCGACTCGCAACAAAAAAACACTCCCGTAAAATTCGAATATTTCTTCGTAAAATGAAGTATTGAGCTAATTTCATGATATTTCATTAGTTTGGCTTGTTTATTTCTTTTTCTTTGCGATTTAGTGCATATTCTAGTCAATACGTCAGCTATCGATATAAGCCAAAAACATCAATCATACACGAGACCAATGTCCTGGCGAACGCGCCAAATGTTTCGCACTATGCCCGAATATGTATGGTCTGAATTCGACACGGGTATACTACCTGTTCACTGGCCGCAACGAGTCTGACGGTCAATAAGCCAAAGCCAAAGAAGGAAACCCTACAATGCTTTGAAGTTCATCGTACAGAAATATTCCTTAATTTTTTAATTAATCTTCTGGTTTTGCTCAGGCTTTTCGATTTTGCCTAAGGGATCAAATTCCTTGCCAGGTATATGCGATGTTTTGGCCTGGATTAGTGTACTATCCTCCCGCTCCCATATTGTAAATTGTTTACCAAATTCCTGGGGATATTATATTCATTTTATTCATTTCCCTGCACTCGCTTTCTCGGCTGCCAAGTTAATTTACACCGCAAATAGTTTTTTGCGGTTGCCATGACAATAATGCTAATTAAATGAAACACAGGGGCAGGTGCTCCTGCTTCCGCCACTACTTCTTCCGCTGTGGTTAACCCCGCACTTTGTGGCGAGCAGCCAACAAATAATAATCAGCCGAGTGGCTCCTCCTGCCCTCCGCTGAAAACAAAAATTGCCCCAAAAATATTACATATTGCATGCGTGCTCCAAAATTAATTGGAATGCAAACGCAGTTGAGGAAAAAGTGTTGCAATTAAATTGCGCCAGGCCCCACAGTCAACTCGAAACCGGGCTCGCATCCGGACTGCAATTACACAAACTAATGCCGTTTAATTAAGTTTACACGTGCCACAATTAAATCTTCGGCGCTAATTGATGAACGTGTTTCCAGGGGTCTACACTCATACATATGTACATATATATGTGGAGCAGAGCGTATTCGTGCCCTATTTTTTCATGCCCTTTACTCCAGGAGTACAGGGGCACATTGTGTTCGTACAAATGTATGCAACAGAAAGAGTTTTCTACCTTATAGGTGCAACATATTTTATTGATCAGTATCAATAGTTGATTGCTGCACATAGCATTCAATCTTTACCCAATTTTGTGCTCAAGATAGTCCCCCAAGAAGGGGATATCTCCTATTCCTATTCCTATTCGAGGATACGAATATTATTCGAACTTGTTTTTGTTTTTAAACGTAGAACAATCTCACGTAGTAGTCAGCAAAACGGCAAACAAATAATCCGGAGAGTGAGTGACAAAAGGTGTGGACGCGTGCCTAGAGGGGAATCGTTCGTGTTGGGAAATCATAAATAGTTTGTAGCCCCCTCATAATGTATCCCTTCCGAATTAGGCTAAACTGGATTTTGCTTACACGCATTGCCGTGCCGTGCCGACCAGTTGGCACGTTCCCGTTCGCCCGCCCCTCTGCCCTGCTTCCAAGTTGAGTTACGGCCTTCGTTACGGATTGGTCCAAAATTCGAAAATTATTTAGCAAATTAACAGGCTGACAAGTCAACTGTGTATGCATTTGGAAGTGGCTGACGTGGGTCCCCGGCTATGTGACCAGATTGCCAAGAGCCAAGAGCCGGAAAACTTATGGATTGCCGGCACGCAGAGCATTTCCAATTGCTTACCTTGGCCAAGGACAAGGATGGTGCAAGAACCGGGGAAACGACTGGCCATTAAAGTAATTCTCTTACGAGTACGAGCATTGTTTGCCTTTGGTATTTTGGCTTTCCTGTTGCATGGCTGCAGTGTCCAAATATTTTTGTTGAGTCTCAGACCGCAGTACAAACACAAAGACAAACACTGCCGGAAGTTTGCAACATTTTATTATATGTATGTTCCAGCTTAATGTTTTGTTAAGGCCAG